ATGAGTTTCAGTGGAATCTCAAATGTCTGCTGTATATGGAGAGAGAGCTAAAATGGAGTCATCAAAGGCCATTTGGGAAAAACAATGAAGAATAACGTTATATACTTTAAAATAATGCTTCATATTCAAGACAATCCAATCAGTTAAAAAACCAATCTGGCTCACCAGTATTTAAGCAAACTGGTTAAAACATACTTATTTGAGAAACCAACTTTTAATATCTAACGTGTTATCTGTAGGGATTAGTCATGGCTCACGAATACAATTACTGAAGTATGTATCTAACTGCTCATAAAATAAGCCTATAAAATTCATTTTTGCTTCCTTTTCAGGGGCACTGATTATTGGTCTAACTGGAACATTTCAGATCACTTTTGAACAAAATTCATTTCCTCCCAAATACTGGTAATCAGCATTTTTGTGTAGAATTTACTTTATTCTTCTGTCCTTCCTACCAATATTAAAAATAGAGGCTGACTTTTTCACCCTTCAAAAGATACATTGTAAATTAAGTAAATTATTTAAAAAATTAAAGAAGAATGCAATAATCACAAATTTTCTACAGATTAGTGGCTGGAAATTTAAGAAAGCAGATATCCTTTTAAACAACATGAACATAAAGAGAACAGGACAGTTCAAAAACAGTAATGAAATATGAAGTAGGAATAAAAACACATATTTAAATTTTAATATTTAAATGTTTAGTATGGTTAAGTTTTTACAAAAATCGCCCTAAGCATGTAAATAACTTTTCCAAATTCTCGTTAGACAGTTTTCTAATACACCGAGTCAAAACTATTTTAGTCTATTTAAAAAGATTTCAACAAACAACAAGTGTTGGTGAGAATGTGGAGAAAAGGGAACCCTTGTGCACTGTTGGTGGGATTGCAAATTGGGGTAGCTAGTATGGTAAACAGTTTGGAGGTTCTTCAAAAAATAAAAATAGAACTACCTTATGACCAGCAATTCTATGTCTGGGTATTTATTCACAGAAATCTAATACACTAATTTGAAAAAAGACATGCACTCTTATGTTCACTGTAACATTACTTACAGTAGCCAAGATATGGAAGTAACCTAAGTGTCCATCAATAGACAAATGGATAAAGAAGATGTGGTAAAATATATATATAATGGATTATTACTTAGCCATAAAAAAGAATGAAATCTTGCCATTTATGACAACATGGATGGACCTACAGTATATTATGCTAAGTGAAATAAGTCAGACAGAAAACAACAAGATCCATATATATGATTTCTCTTATACATGGAATCTAAAAGACAAAATAAATGAACAAACAAAACAAACTCATAAATGCAGAGAACAAATTGATGGCTGCCAGATGGGTGGGGGGTTGGGGAGATGGGTGAAAAAATGGAAGAGATTAAGATATATAAATTGCCAAACATAAAAACAGTCACAGTGTTATAAAGTACAGCATAGGGAATACAGTCAATAATATTATACTAACTATGTATGGTGCCAGGTAGATACTAGACTTATCAGGGTGATCAGTTCAGTTATATGAATGTCTAATTATTATGTTGTATACCTGAAACTAATATAATATTGTATGTTAACTGTAATAGACAAATAAAATTTTAAATAAAAAGATTTCAGTAAACTGGGTTAAGAACTATAAATCTTATTCTCAAGATACATATGATATGGATAAGCAGTACATATATGAAATAGCTATGGAATAATATTAAAATGTTTATGGCTAGGTGTAAAATGACCAGATTAGATTGCTACAAAACTCTAAAACAGGAAAATCACTCTTGGAAGGGGCTGGGCAGGAGCTTGCCCTCAAAGCCAGATTCAAACTAGCACAGAAGCAGAGGTAGGACATTTCATACAAGGAATACCATGCTTATGCCAGAGCTCAAATACAGGGTACTTATGAGATACAAAGAAAAAGATAAGATTGGGAAGTCTTGAAGTGCCAACCCAAGTCCTATAGATGTTAATGACAGAAGAGAAATGATGAAAACAAGAACTGAAAAATTTTAATCTACTAATGGAACTCACAATGGATAAAGTAGGATCAGGTTGGAGGCCAATCCTGTCACAATAAGAACAAGCCCTAAATGGCAGGAGACTTATGGAGTAAGGGTAAAAGAGGAAATGAAAAACAAATGCAATAAAAGTTAGTAAAAATCTTGGTTTAAAGTTATTACCCAGAAAAATCTTCTTGATGCATGGTGATGATTATGGCCTCTATAGCATCTCCCACTGAAGTCAGTAACGGTTGCACAGCGTTTCCCATAAGAACGTGGATCATCTGAAAAGAAGAGAAAAGGAAGGAGATGCAAATTAAAGAAGACTACACCAAAAAACTGACACATGAGAAGCATTATGACTAAAAGTTTTCATACTATATCAAATTCAGACTATATACAATTTAACTGTAATAATTCAACAGAAGTCTCTTCTCCCTAACTTCTGTCAGCAACGATTTTTGAAGCTTAAAATAAGAAGAACATGGCACTGAAAAATCTCAACTCCTCCATTTCTCTCACATTTTCAAAAGTTTAATGGTCCAATGAGCCCCTGGAAAAAGAGGAGGAAAAGTGCAACTTATGAAGTAAAGATCAAATGAACACATTTTTTTTTTTAAGTTTCTGAAAAGGGTGAGGCAAGACCAAAAGTAATTCTTCAAAACTGGAATGACATCATATGCTTGTAACCAGATAATATAATAAATATACTGGCGATTCTTATGAGGCAGAACAGTGAGGCATTTTATGAATTAGGTTTCTATTTAGAATTTTACAGCAGTGATTCTCAACCGGGGGCAATTCTGCTCCCCAGAAAACATCTGGAAATGTTTGGAGACGTTTCTAATTGTCACAACTAGGGTGGGCAAAGAGTTTGCTACCAGCATCTAGTGGGTAAGGATACAGATGCTACTAAATATCCTACAATACATAGGACGGTCCCCCACAACAAAGAACTAAAATGTCAATAGTGCTAAGATTGAGAAACTGTTCTATAGTGAGGTATAATCATTGGTTAAGTTATGTAAGACCCTAGGCCTTAGTTATGAGTTTTTAGTGTGAAAATACTGACTAGACCTCAGTAAATACTCAAAATCTAAAATTTAAGTATATTCTATATGTTTCAATGATGATTACATAGGATTAAGATGGATGGCTTTGGCTCATACAAATGATTTCAACCAAAGAGAAAAGTTTAAACAGGACTCTTACTCATTAAATTTCTAGATGCCATCTCTAGCCCTTGGGGAGCTGGCAATCTATAAACAACAGATAACAAGCTATAGCGATATCAGTGCTCTACTCTACAAGAGTGCTATGGGATCATAGGAGAGATCTCCAGCTTACACTGAGAGGATCTGAAAAACAAAAGGTGTTGATTAAACTGAATTTCAAAGGACAAATAGGTAAGAAGAGTGGTAGGGCTAGAAGGGCTTATGTTAAAAGCAAAGGAACCTAGGAAAACTGATGCATTTGGGAAACTGCAAAGCGTTCAATACAGATAGTGTGAGGTGCCTGCCTATGGGGAAGAAAGCCGGGCAGCTGATGTACTCTGTGTAGGCTGCTAAGGAGTTGGAAGTTTATCCTGAAGGGACTAGGAAACCAATTATGGGTTTTAAGTAATGAAAAAATGTGGTTAAAGATCTGAATTTGGGAAAAAACATGTTATGTAGTAGACTGGATAAATTAGACTAAGAGTAGGAGGACATACTAGCAGTATAGATGCAAAACTGTGAGCACCTGAACCAAATCAGAGACAGTAGAAACAAATGAAGAGACAGGATGAAGATACTTTGAAAGGAGAACAGCTGAACTTGGTAATTAGATTTAAGGAATATGGAGTGGAAAGATTTAAGGGTACACTTAGATTTTTCTCTTAATGGTTTGGTGGTATTATTAACTGAATATGTAAATGCAGAAGAAGCAGTTTAATTTGGTGATGGAGGGAGAAAATGATGAGTTCAGTTTTTAATATGAGTTTGAAGGGCCTTTGGGAAATCCACATAGGCTATCCAGTAGGTGCTGATCATACATTTGTAGTTTCTGACACATTTTGACTAGATTTGGTAGTCTTTGGCTTTCAAAGAGAGATGAGGCCAAAAGAGTCAATAAGATCCAAGAGGATGGTCTGTAGAGGAAAGCCAAATGCCATCTTAAGTTCATGCAGAAGAAGAGCTTTTGAATGATTAAGAGAGATAAGAGCTTCTATTTAGTATACATTATGTGCTGGGTACTGTGCTATGTGCTTCACGTGTAATAATTCCAATTAAAACTCAATTATTCCTTCCCCTAAGAATTACTGAGATCTTTAACTTGTAATTGGGGAAACTAAAGTCAAGTTAAGGAGATTGTCCAAAGCCATAACTGAGCAAGTGGATGAGCTGGGGTTTTCCAGCGGCATCTGACTCCAGTGTGCTTTTGGTTATACTTTGTCACTGGGCATAGAGTAGAAAGAGACCTTAGATATGGTGGAAATAGACAAGGCAACTTCAAGAAGGAAAAGTTGGTTTTCTACTCTGGTATGAAGGTTCTAACTACACATCCTCCTATGAATAATTATGAAAAAAGATAGCAAAAACAAAACAAAAATCTACTGGAGGGCTCTGGATTGGAGATGGAAAAAAAAAAGCAAATAGTTTTAGAGGAGTGTGGGAGTCTAGGGCAAGCAACCAGCAATAAAAATTATTTGGTGGACTAAAGTGTGTGTGTGTGTGTGTGTGTGTGTGTGTGTGTGTGAGAGAGAGAGAGAGAGAGAGAGAGAGAGAGAGAGAGAGACACTTTGCTCTAAGAATGACTTACAGTCATGCTGGTGACAAAGCTGGGTAGCTAAAACTGAGAGAAAAACAAAATAAAACAAAACTTGCAGTCTTCCAGGCCAAAGGAACAGAGGAAGGAGCCCTGGTTCAACTAGGGCTGCTATAGAGTAAGAGGGGAATCTCAAAAAAGAGAAAGCCAGAGAAGAAGAATGCCTAATTCTCTATTTAAACTCAGCACTACTCGTCAGTCGATAATCATGCATGTGCAGAGCAAACTAAAAGTGGTTTGCAACTAAGGTTTAAAGAGCTGAATGGAATGGCCAACTGCAGATATGTCAGTGTACAAATTGAGTCTAATTAAGCTAATTAATTGCTAAGGAAACATCGTCAACACTCCTAGGAGCAGTATCAAAAAATACTGAGTCTACATAGTATAACATTCACAATATTAAGGATATATTAAAAATTACTACTAAAACAAAAGCTAGAAAATGTTATCAATTCTCAAGGGAAAAGCTGTCAACCCTGAGATGACCCAGATTCTACAATTAGCAGGCAGGAACCTCAGTAGGGTAAAGAAGAAATACTCACAATAAATAAAATAATAGGAAATCTCAGTAGAGTGATTCAAAATGTGAAAAAGAACCAAATGAAAGTTTTAAACTAAAAAAAAAAAATTATACTACATGCAAGTAGAAATAAATGCACTTCTATAAATGCAAGGTTTCTATATTTTACAGAACATGATACAATATTAACTCTAATACTATGGAAAGTTAAGAATGTAATGTGGTAATCCACAGAGGAACCACTAAAAAAAAAAAAACAAATCATGCAGAAGAACAGATAAAAATCTAATAAATAAAAATGAAATTCAAAAATCTTTTCAAATAATCCAAAAGAAGGCAGGAAAGAGGGGGAAAAAAACAGAAGGGATAAACAGAAAACAAAACTATATGCCTAAATAAAACCTTATTAATAATTATATTATGTAAATGTATTAAACAATCCAATTAAAAGGCAGAGATTATTAGAACAGACAAAATGGTAATACCTATATACTGTTTACACGAGATGCACTTTAAGAATAAAGGCACAGAGGAGTTGAAAGTAAAAGGATAGAAGATACACCATGTAAACACTAAGCATAAAAAGGCTGGAATAGTTAAATAAACATCAAGTATAATAGAATGCATCAAAATAACTATCAACAAAAGCTAAAGAGAGATATTTCACAATGATAAAAGGGTCAGTTCATCAGGAAGGCACACCAATGATAAATATATATATAACAGAGCTCCAACAAACTAGCAACACAGCTTCAAAACTGGGGAGTCAAGAATCCCCATAATTAAAAGAAGAAAATAATTAAAAGAAGAAATAATCCAACAAACTAGCAACACAGCTTCAAAACTGGGGAGTCAAGAATCACATAATTAAAAGAAGAAATAAATTAGTCCACGATCATAGTATAAAACTGTAACTCCTGTTTTTCGACAATTGACAGAACAACTACATAAAATATCAGTGAGATTTGAACACTTTATCACCACCTTGACTTAATTGATATTTATAGAACACTATATTCAAGTGCAAATTATGGATTTTTGTCAAGCACACATGGTTCATTCGCCAAGACAGACCACATGCTGGGACATAAAACAAGACTTAATAAATTTAAAAGAACTAGAATCATACAAAGTATGTTCAATTAAATGAGAATTAAATTAGAAATCAATAACAAGATAGCTAGGAAAACCATAAATAATTGGAAGTTAAAAAAACCACTTCTAAATAATTCGTGACTCAAAGAAGTTATAAAGAAAATCAGAAATATTGCAAGCTGAATGAAGATTATAAAAAGCACAACACATCAAAATTGAAGTGCTCAGGGGAAGTTTACAATTTTAAATGTTTATTTTGGGAGAAAAATGGTCTTAAAATTCAATGGTATAAGGTCTCAAAAAAATTTTAAAGGCAAAAAAAAGTAAGTAGAAGGAAATAAAAAAGACAAAAGCAGAAATCAATGAAGTAGAAAGATAAATAATAGAAAAAACTAATAAAGCCAAAAGTTGATTCTTTTAAAAGATCAACAAAACTGATAAACCCCTAGCTAAACTGATCAAAAAAAAAAGAGAGAGACAAATCATCAATATAAAAAATGAAAAAGAGGTTATCACTACAGGTCCTAAACAAACTAAAAGGACAGTAAGAGAAAATCATATACAGCATTACTCTGAATAGATAACTTAGATGATTAGACAAATACCTAGAAAGTCATAAAGTATCAAAGCTCATTTAAGAGACAGATAACCTGAATAGCCCTTTATCTATTAAATGAATTAAATCTGTAGTTATAAACTTTCTACAAAGAAAACTATAGGCCCAGATGGCTTCACTGGTGCATTCTACTAAGCATTTAAGGAGAAAACATAAATTCTACAAATTCCTTCGGAAAACAGACACAGAGGAAACATTTCCAAACCTAATTAGTGAGGCCAGTATGAACTTGATATAAAAATTAGACAAAAAATTACAAGAAAAGAAAACTATATACCAATATCCTTTATGGTTACAGACACAAATATGTTTAACAAAAGTTAAGTAAATCAAATCTAGGAATACATAAAAAGGGTAATATACCATGACAAGGTCAATTTAATATTTGAAAAAAATTCCTGTAAACTATTTTAACAAAAGGAGTAAAACCATATGATCATGTCAATACATACAGAAAAAGCTATTTGATGAAGCAACACCATTTGTAATAATAATAATAATAATAATAATAATAATATTATAATGTCTCAGTAAACCAGGAATAGAAGAGAACTTGTTTAATCTCATAGACCATTTAAGAAAAATTTATAGCTAACACCATATTTAAAATAGCAAAATACTGAGCACTTTCCCCTATGTAAATAAGGTCCACTCTTATCAGCCCTATTCAACACTGTACTAGAGGTTCTAGCCAATGAAACAAAGCATGGGAAAAAAGGCATAAAAGTCAGAAAGAAAGAAATAAAACTGTCTCTATTTGCATGTGATATAATGGTTTACACAGAAAATTTTATAGGTAGATGAGATTTTCCAGTTAGGAAAAATATAAAGCAGAAACTGAAGAGAGCATCTTGGGGTATGCCTTCATTTAAAGGACGGATAGATAATTAACAACTATCAGGGAAAACTGAGAAAGGAGACTAGTTTATATTTCATAAGCTCTTTACAAGGCAGGGAAATGTGTCATACATTTTTAAAAGATTTATCTAAAATGGCTAAGATTACAAAAATATTGAAGCCTCAGCAATCTGAAACATTTCCTTTTATAGAACATCGAATCTTCACAATTAGGGAGGAATGAAGAATTGTCACATAAACTTAGCAATACAATTGCTATTTGCACAAGACAATCTCAATAATAAATGGATCAGAATTACTGGGCCAACATGTTTAAATGGTACTTATACCCAGGGTGGTTATAATGAAATGACCTGAAATGTATTCATTAATATTAATTATGCCATCGATGATTTATTAGATAATGCCTATAACATGAGATGATGAACCCCAAGTCTAAAATAACACGTAATTTTGGCTAAAATTTAAACAAGGTAGAGAAGAAACACTATTATGTGTCTTTACCTATATTTTAGTAAGTAAAAATGTATGTTTAGTATCTTCTCTATCAAATAACAAAGGCATACATATTTTTGGTTCTTGGGCTATAGTCATTTATGCATCATAATATTCTATCCCTAATTCAAAGTGATGTTATAAATTTCCTACAATTTTATAAAATTCAAGGTTCCTTTTTGTCTAAGTCAGAGGGTTTTGTTTGTTTTTTACTTAATATGTCATAATGATTTTTATAAGCTTTAACTAAAAAGCAAGGTCAAACTGTTTCACTGAGTTCTGTTAACATAAGCAATTAAGTCTCTAATTGGCAAGGCCACTTCAGGATGGCCTTGTACTGATTGCTAGTCTTCTCTTACCCAGAGAGTCTCCAAGAAATTTCTATTTTTAACTTGTCCAAGAGATTTTTATCATCAACAAAGTATAGGCACGCTGTCTTAACCTATAGAGTAGACTTTCTCAAACTATGAGTTGCGATTGTTAGGGGTCAAAAAATTAGTCGATTATAATCAGAATTTTTAAAAAGTAATATGAGTATAGAAAATAGAGTGCATCACAAAAAATAAGGAAAAGTATTGTTTTATGAAACCTTTGTATTAATTACAGAAATGTGTATAAACACATATTCTATATATATATGTATATATTTGAAAAATGGCTTATGTATCGTGTATAGGATGACAAAGTAAAATGTATTTCTTATCTTGGGTAGTGATAAAAAATGTTTCATGGCTACTGCTAGAAGGAAAAAGTGTTGAATTACAGAAAGAAAACTACATGTATTCTCGCTTAGAGGCAAGAATATTGAAACCTTTGGTTTGTCATACTGGTCCAATTTTATAGTGTTTTTATGATCATCAATAAATTGGACAACTCTTACTAAAAACAATTATTTTATTATGACAGCATTAGTAATATTTCATCATAATGAGATGAGACGAGTGCACTGGAGAAAAAGATACAGAGAAAACATCCAAGTGTACTTTTACGATGTTGGGGAAAAAACAGACTGTCTCCTCTTACTCTCATATGTGAATTTAGTATCCTTAAGTTTTGGGGCCTGTTAAATGCCCATCCATGTCACCTACAGACAAGTAGCATATGACCTCAGAAGTTCTCTTCTCCTTTAGGATTTGTGGCATCGTTCTTTCTCAATTTTCTTCCTCACTCTCTTTGTATCCTCTTTACTCTCTAAATAGTTCTCTTTGGAATTTACTGGTAGTATTCTCTCTCTCTCCTTAACTTTACCCAAGTGATCTAAATTCAATCTAATACTTGACATTTATTTCCTTTGTGTTGATATACAGCACCTTTTTATAGATGCAAACTAAGGCAAGAGGGCACTTATTAACTTGTCTGAGGTCATAAGCCAGTTAAACAGCTGAGATGGAATTCAAATACAGGTAGTTTGGCTCCAGAGTCTGTGCAATATGGACTTAACTTACTTATTTAGTAAGCACTAAGTAAATACTTAGTAAATGAATTAATGAATGATGGTGGCAAAGTAGAGTAGACACAATTCTTTTGAGTCAGCAATGTCTGGTTTTATCAGCTATATGACTTTGAGTGAGTTATTATTTCTAAGACATACAATGAGGATAATAACACATAAACAGTTGCTGTAATATTTCAATATATTGCATGTGAATAGCAAACAGCAGGTACTAAAAGTTATCTATTACTATTATATGAATGAGTTGCTTGTTTTTTAAAAGAGTTACCTACTGTCAACTATATATGACTCTTAATCTCATACCAGTATTATTTTTCATTAAACATCCTTAGTATTAGAAAAGGGGTATATTTATGTTAGTGTATTTAAAAGGGGAATTTACCCTGGTTTCACACCTTACAGATATACATTAGAGTTTCTAAGCCTTAGCATTATTGATATTTTGGGCCCAATAATTCTTTGTTATGGGGAGCTGTTCTATGCATTACAGGATGTTTAACAGCACCCATGGTACCAGATGCACTCCTTACAATCAATATGTCTCCAGATATTGTTAAATGTCCAAAGGGGACAACAATTAACCTGATGGAGAACCACAGCCTTCCTAGCATAATACTTGGCTGTACTGCCCTAAGATAGAGTGAATACTTGTAAGACTCTTGCTTCTCTTCTTATGATAACAATTATCATATGTAAAACACAGTATGTAAACACCAACAGGGTCTATTTTTAAATTCTGGAAAATAAAAACACTCATGTATCTTTTCTCTTTAGGGTAATTATCAACATGCTACTTTTGGTATATGTAGAGGATTCTGAATTATTTTTAAAATGTGACATCTCCCACTCATCCAAACAAATAATTCTAAAACCCACTTTGATTTATACAGTCAAAGGTTAAATTAAATTCTTTTACCTGTAGGGCTGAAATTATAGTTTGCTCAGCTGCTGGTGGGAATGAGCTCTGACTGGAAACCACCTAAAACAAGATTTTGATCTCGTTACAGTTTTGCTTAACTTATTTATCTGTTTTCCATTTTTACAAGGAGGATGCATTCTTGCATTTATTATGTAATTCCAAGTCATTTATTTTTATAAATACTAATTTTGATAGTGACATGATAAAGTTGTTTCCACAAGCCACATATAAAACAGTATCATTACTTTAGCATAATGTCTCATAAATGTTTTAAAAACTCATTGGTATTTATTAATTTAGATAGGTTGAAAAATACTTTTCTGTATAAAGCAAATATATACATCAAATAATTAACACACAAAGAATTCTAAAAGCTATCTGTTTTGTTCACTTTATATAGGTTTTAATGATAAAGTTTTAACTTGAAAAAGTTGATCTAAAGCTTGAATTTATATACTCCTTTTAAAAAAAAAATCCACTTTTCTATGTTGACTGTAATTTTCAACAGTTTTAAAATACAAATGTCAAAGATTTCCCTTTTTACAAATCAATACAAACATTATGAAAATTCTGAAACTATCAATAAAGACATTTAAATCAGGCTAAATAAGTACAACCTTTCTTTGCTTTAGAGTAATAATTAAAGAGAAAATATATCACTTATTCTTTTTATTTACTTTTGTTCGTTATTTACTTTTCTGAGATTTACCTGTTAAAAAACCCTTTAAAATATATTCTGTTTAGTGTGTGAAATGCACATTTTTAAAAACCCCTAATTGATGAAAGGACTTGTTAAAAATTTTAAGTAATAGTCATGTAATTATTCTAAAATACAATCTAGCACATTAAAGCTTATATCAGAGATCAAGTTTTTAAGAACATCACCTAACCTTTAGCTTCCTTCAGGCTTCTAAACATTTATCTCCCTATCTACTAAACATTTTGAAAATGACATATAGAGAGTAGCAAAAGCCACTCAAAAGTCAAAGATGGAGTAAAAGTGCTTTCCTAGTAATTATAAATGGAGTTCATCTTAGACATAATATATGAAAGCAAACAAGATATAATTCAGTCATTTTTTAGAATAGCAAAAAGAATATATATTTTTTACTGCAAGTAATCATCAGTGATTATACCATAAAAATTCAATTTTAATGCAGCTCCTATCCCCCCACTTTTTGTGTAAAAATAGAACCTTTTTGATATGTTTGAGGGCTTAAGAGTTTTAGTCACTCATTAGCTTTGCTATAATTTACCACCACCCACATGATATCATATTATGCTTTGTAATAGGTATGAAAAAGAGACAATTTACCTATAAATTATTTGTTCAATAAATTTGATTACATCAACCAAACTTGAGAATCCATAGTTCATGTATTTTAAACCAAATGTATAACAAAAAGTCACACGGATAATAAAGGCCAGGGTCAAAGACTGTGTCAAAGGAATTAATTTGGCAGCTTATTTTATAATCATCACGTTGTCATTGTATTCTTTTGCAAAAAATTAAATAATAATTTCTAAGTCGTCTAAATTTGAGGCAAAAAGAAATATGAACTTTAAATTAAGTCAAAAAAATTAGTTAAAGAGTAAGTTTACCTTTGTTACTGACTGGTGCAACTTAAACAGTGAATTCACTACTGCCACATTTCTTCTCTGCCCTTCCGTAAGAGGTCCAATCACCTGACTTGCATCTCCTTGTGTGGAGAGCTGTAAGAATTCAACATAAAAATTCATATTTAACTGGGGGAGGAGAGAATTAATGCTCCCTGACAAAGAGAATAATAATTGGAACTATTCAATTCAAGCTTTGGACTTCAGGCACAGCAAGAACCTCTGTAGAGATAACACCATGGATGTGGAGGCCTAATTATAATTAGTCTCACACAGGAGGAACATCCTCCACCATCAATACATCATAGCTGATAGACCTCTGAGGCAGATGTGACCCAAAAGCCCAGTATGTGTTATTATTTTGATACATCAGCATAGTACTCCTAGAGAATACTTACTGGCAACTGTCACCAAAAAAAAAAAAAAA